TTAACTACAAACAGACATGTTAGGCGTCTTGAAAAATATAGTTTAAATTTTCTTAATAACTGTAGACTTTTGTTCAAGACAAAGTACCAATTCTAGATAATTTGTATTTTTTAACAATATGTTATGTTGAACTAACTATATTTTGCTACATTTATAAAGTATTATTTTATTTTACGATTATGTTTTTAAAACCATCCACTGTAGTTCCACTTAGAAGCAGCTATAAACACAAGACGAAGAAATACGAGGAAAATTTTCCAAGTTAATCATTATGTTAACAAAGCTTCTACATTACAAAACCACATCTTTAGGAAATTTGTGAAAACAATAAATAAACCTAAAATTCATTTTTTTCCATCCAGTTGTCTTTTGATATTTTCTCTCTCGCACCGAAAGCGTTAAAAGGAAGAGAGACATGAAAAGCAGTAAGTAGGTGTTTGACCGATTCTACGTTTCATATCGTTATATGAGTCATCACCCAATCAGGACTACAATCTTTTTTTTAAAGGTACGTATAGACTAAATATTTTAAACACACCTCGGATGAACTCGACTCAAAATCATCTTCATACTCGTAATCGGGGGAGGCACTGCTATGTTTAGAGTTTTGACGTAATGTGGCTTCTTTGCTGTTGTGGTTAGTGTAAACATCCGATAGTACGGGTTTGAGAGTAGAAACATTGTTCCAGGCGTCCTTTCTTCTTGAGAGTTCAGGAGAAACGGAAGAAAGTTTGGCGACAGGTGAGTTCGTGGAAGGTATTATTCCTGGAATTGTATAAGGTTTCAATCGATCACTTAATCTCAGAGACATCTAAATATTGTATGACGATTATTAATCAATATCTTTATAAATTGTACCTTATATCTACACATAACCTAAAGTAAACGGTTATGTACGTTTTTGAACATATAAACGTATTAGGTTTTACCTTTTACATAACCCTCTTTAGTGCTCATCAATGGATCTAAAAGTAAATTAATTATAAGTATATATGTGACCATATATACATATATATTTGTAAAATATAGAGATGGCATACGTTGTCTGTAACAAACGTTTTGAATTGGCACCTTTATTAACACTTGAAGTTGTTTTGATTTGCATTTCACAACAACTGTATGGAAGGCTGCTCTCTCTTTCTCTTTTACTCGCTTGGATATGCTTACAGGCTTGTTGATAATGCTACACTTGAGTTTACCGTATAAAAAATTTAATGAATTGAATATTTTGTATCATATATAAATATAAGACTGAATATGTGAACTTATCATTTACTCCTTACAAAAAAAACAAAAAAACAACAAAAACTATGCAACTATATTCGTAAACATGTTTTGTATTTTATCTACCTTTATCAGGTTTTTAACTAACAATACGTTCTTTTTTCGTTCTGTTTTAAAAATGTTAAGAAACATATCAGGTTTGTTCAGAATTTTCTTCATCAAAATTGTCGCCTTTGTTTATAATTACCTTTCCCAACTACGCCAATTCTGGAAATATTATGTGATGCGACTGTGGCGCTCTCTGATGACTTGAAAGCTGATTTTGAATTTCCCATGACTCTTTTGCTTTCAACAAAAGGCGTTTCTCTGGTGCTCCCGTTTCTAGTTTGAGGTTGATTAAAAACCTTTATTGTTCTGAGAGGTGGTGACCTAATCGAGACTGGTTTACCGCTAAACACTGTGTCTGGGTGAGCGAAATAGCCTTCTCTGTATAAAATACAAATAAAATAGACATTTTGTTGTAAGTGTGATAACTTGTCCACTGGTTAATACTTAACATTATCTCGTACATTAAATTTCCTTCACGTTTTACATTTCATTTGAATTATAATAATTATTCACAGGAATTGCAAAGTAAGATAAATAGATGTGCGTTTTCCAAATTACTATATATATAAGTATATGAGTCACTATGTAAATGATAATTTGGCTTAGTACATAGTATTTTGAATAACTATACATATGCTCTTTTTCCTATCTCCTATTATGATCAAATCCTGAGAGACTCGAACACACTGATCTAAAAAATTGAATCAAGACTTTTAAAGTTTGAAAATAAAGATTCAGAAATTTTGACAGTAACCTTATCCTCCTTCAGTAGCTGCCAAATACTTCTAGAGCGATTGTATCCTCCTCCAGCAGCAACCAGATGTTTCAACAGGATTATATCCTACTTCAGTAGCAGTCAAATGTTTAACAGCGATTGTATCTTCCTTCAGTAGCAGTTAAATGTTTCAGTGGCGACTGCATCCTCCTACCGTAGCAGCCGATTGTTTCAGTGGCGACTGCATCCTCCTACCGTAGCAGCCGATTGTTTCAGTGGCGACTGCATCCTCCTACCGTAGCAGCCGATTGTTTCAGTATCGACTGCATCCTCCTACCGTAGCAGCCGATTGTTTCAGTGGCGACTGCATCCTCCTACCGTAGCAGCCGATTGTTTCAGTGGCGACTGTATTATCTTTCAAAAACATCCATATATCTCAGTAACGACTGTATCCATCTATAGTGGACAGCCAACTGTTTCTTCAGTGACTGTATCGTTCTGCAATAGTGGTCAATAGCCAATGTTTCGGTGGTTACTGTATTCTCCTTCAGTAGCAGCCATTATTTCATCAGCGACTGTATCTTCATTCAGTAGCCACTAAGGAAGGCGCCAGTAGTTGGCAAAACTTATGCCTTATGGTTCTTAGTTTTAAATTTTCGTCTTAAATCTTATATTATCGAAACTATACTTTTTAAACGACACATTTTAGGTCTGCTTCTCCTACCGACTAACTACACCTTATTACTTATCTACCTTACGTATCATTAGTTGGATTTGTTTGTCCAACAGATTAACACGTTATAACTTACTTTATTTTTTACTGCGTTGTACACCTTACAAGTTAAAACTTTATTTGTCCTATGGGTCTGACACGTCATAACTTAGTTCTATTTCTACAACCGAATTATGCTAAAACTAATACGTATATTGAACGTACCACCAGAAAAAAACATAATTCTAATTATTTTTTGTTTACACTATTGACATATTACCACACATTCTTTCTTTATGCTGTTGATGCACAACCGAATAATATCATAAGTTTCAATATTTGGTGAAATTTATGCAATACTATCTATTTTCATACAAAAGACATTTTTTTTTTATAATTTGATTTTGTTATCACTATCTATTGTTATGGCAATATTCAAGAATGTGGGGTTTATTTACAGTTTCTTGTTCGTTCGTGTTTCAAACTTCGTTCTTAACTTTGTCATAACGCCCAGGAAGTTTCTAGTATAGAAAACACAGGACTCTGGGAAATTCATGCAACTTAATCTATTTTAACAGGTCTTAAAGAAAAACGAAATGGTCACACGACATTGCATGACTTCCAATAAAGTTGAAGAAACATGTAGAGAAGTGCCTTTTAGTGAAAGACACACGTTAGTTGTACTGGGTTACATTACTTATTAGAGCGTGT